TCCCCAGGTAGGGCTGGATAAGCGATGAGATGGGCCATCTGCTCCCTTGTTTGGATACCTGCCAGCTCTTTCTTTTTATACCATATCTTAAGCTTTATTTTCAGGAGTTCTAGTCTGGGGAGGTGTTGTTAAAATACAACTATGTTCTTTTATGACATTTTGAAATTATCTCAGTCTTCAATCCAGTTGTTTTGTTTTTGTTATGCACAAATACCCTAAGTTTCAACACTTTTAAGCTTTCCTCAGCTAAAGTGTTGTGTAAGRCAGTGCATGTGTCTGTCWGAATAGYAAACTGTGTGATTCCCTGTGCTCASACACTGGCACCCAGCAMATCCCCCAAGCRCAGCAGAAGGTTCCAGAGCAGGAAYACTCATGCTCATTGCCASAGCAGCAGCTCCTGGCTCTCAGCATAAACTGCTTCCAAACCTGATGGGAGTCGGGTGCCAGAAAAGAAAGGTATCTCAGGCAGAACCTGCATTTCTCAGCTCCTGCTGAGTTTCTGCAGCACTCAAACACATTCCTGCCAGAAAGATGCAATGGGGTTTGCCACATGAAGAAAACAGCTGCTCAGTCACCMAAGGCATGGGCTCCATGGCTTGGTTTAGAGGGAGAATGCCCTGGTAGCATCAGCACAAGTTCCTTCCAGGCTGCCCCATCCTTTCCTCAGTGTCCCTGCCCTCACTCATCACCTGCAGCAGCCCCAGCTCTGCACAGGAGGAATCCAGCTGGCTCCTGCCTCTGACTTCCAGGTGAGATAGGTCAGAGTGGTGGATTTTTTKAGGCTTGGGGTTTTGAGATTGTTTTTCTCCTCTCACTATTTTCAAATGCATTGCACATCAGAGGGGTACCACAGTTTGGGGACCCCTGGCCTCGTGGCACATGTTAARCATTCCACTGTCTCCCACACAGGTTCTCAGGGACCAGGAATGCTTTGATGGTTGGCTCAGACAAGTAGGGGTTCACACTGAGGACATTTTTATACAACAAAGTCACATGGCTTTGGTTAAACTGGAACAGCTGCRCTCTGGGATCCATGATCTAGCCAAATCCTAATCTTTATTTTTAAATCATACCTGTTTATCCTTTGCTCTATGCCATTTTGAAGTAGGGTTTTCTACTTTTAAAAGCAGTTAGTATTTTCTGACTTTTTTTAAATTTAGTGATTGCCTTTCTCTAATTCCAGTTTTAATMTCTCATTAGCACATTCTGGTGTGTCCATACAGATGCAGACACAACCACGTGCACGTAGATATGTGTGTGTGCACAAAGCAGAGCACACTGGTCCAAACCATCTTTTGTTATCCTCTCAAGGAATGCTCCAGGAGGCTGCCCATCTGCTTTTCTGTGCTAAAGGAGGAGAGTAATAAACTAGAGAAAATTAAAAAAAATATAAAAACAGGGTGAGAAAGAGGGAAGATTTTTAACTGGTCTCTCTGTTCTTTGCATAGACTATTGGCTGAAAGAAATCCCACTGACTCAGAAACATTTCATATTGTCATCTTCCTGAGCATCCACCTTCATATTCAATACATTTTGATCTTTCCCCCCCCCTCCCCCAGCGTTAATGGAATGATTATCAAAGTTTTCAATTTTTTAAATGTTTATATTGCCAATTTCTTCTTTTTTTTTTTCTTGTTCCCATATTATTCTTTTGCCTAAATTGCTCATCCCCATCCTTGGCACTGTCCTGYACCATGACAAGMATGCAGACAGCTCTTGTATGACCTGGCAGTCTGTGTTTTCCTGAGCTGAACAAACCAAACACCATTACTTTACTGGGGCAAGAGACTCTGTTCTCCCACAAAATYTTAATATTTTTCCTGTGTTCCTTCCCAACATGAATTAACCCTTGACCATGCAGGYGATGATAAGCAAAGGGCTCACTAGTTCTTTGTATAATGATACCCATGATGCCAACAATTCCCTCTACTTGCTGGAAATATTTGCTGGCTACTACATGCTGTATTTACTTATATTTTTCCTTTCTTACAGCTACATCATACATAATTATTCTCAAATTGACTAATTCACCTAGTCTTTCTTTCCCCCTTATTCCCAGGTTAGAGCAGAAATTCCTTTKGTTATCCCCTTCAAGCTTGACCTTGTTCTGTTGAAGTTGACCCTAAGTGTTAATTGTCAGAATATTAATGTATCATTCATACCCTAAACATTCATACTCTAAAAATACCCATTCATACCCCAAACCCTGTTTCAGGGCACCTATATTACCAACAAYAAATATAATTCTGTGTATTTCCTTCTATGTCAGACAGTATTTAGAAAGATGTCCCCAAAATGAGGTCTTTTCTCCYCACTARGTYTTTGCCTTGCAGAGCCTGCTGCTCYTTAGCTCAKTCCTCACCACTTTACAATTCATCCACTAATCCCTAGCTTCCTCCTTTTGATKATTCATTTTCTGTGTGGCACTGATAACTTGCTTTAGTGGAGTTCAATTACAAAAGATTGCCTTTGACTGAAAAAAACCCTGCTATCAAAAAGCAAGATATCTGATTAGTCAGGCACAATCAACTTTTGGTGAACCTGTTTTGCATTTTGTCCTGTATATCATCATCCTACTTTTTAATTTCTCTATCCATCAGATCCTTTTGTAAGACCCTGCATACTGCTGAGGCTGCACCTTTTCCTCTCCTCTTTCTTTAGTGAAGACACTGCATTTCATTTTCTGCAGTAAAATTGCTGTCCCTCTAACTTGACAAACTTATTAAAAATTCTGTCCATCAGGCTCCCAGTTTTATGAGCTAAACACCCCAGAATGCTAAGTAACTATTTGGTTTTGAGCCTCCACCTCACTTCTTGCATATTTAAAATTAAATTTGGTTTGTTTTTTTTTTTTTTTCAGTTTTACAGCTATCTCAAATGGAGTGAATTTCCCCCTGCACCTTTATTCCACGACTAATTTTCATCAATACACATGCTAGTCTTGATGMAGACTCACATAAGGCATTTATGAAATGCCTGACATAGTTTTTCTTCTCAGCACCCCTGTAGAGTGGCCCTCTTTTTTTTCCTGTTCTCTATTTCAATTACAAGATTATACAGCCTTTTAGATTTGCTTTAGCTTCCTTTATAGGCTCTAATGCAACCTGACAAAGTGAGAATTGTGAAAAGTCCTCCTTCTCTCATAGCTTGCCTTCTTTGACATTCAGTGCATTTACACCCTCCAGCTCATTTTTCCAGAACAAAGAAGGGGTCAAATTTTTCTGCCAGCCACATTCTTTGCATCTCACTTGTGAACAAGAGCAAATGTGATAATTGCTCCAGGATGGATGRAGAGGAAAGTCAGGAAGCACAGTGAACAGAAATGTGACTCAGGAAARCCCAGGCCAACCTGTGCCAGAGGCAGACCAGCCCTCCTGTGGATTATTCTCTCTTGGTACAACGAAATTTCTCTCAAGTGCAGACTGAGGATCAGACAAGTGTTGCACATGCAAGGATTTTCACACAGGAATTTCCCACTTCCACAAGCTTCCCACTTTGTTTTATTCCCTCCCTGCCACCTTAACTTCACACATTATTACTGGCTAGAAAAGAGGAAGCAGAAGTCTTGGTAGCTCCTAAGGAAGAGAATAGCAGAGTGCTGGTAAGGCAATGCAACACAAACCAGCCAACTCTGATCTTACACAAATCTTTTACCCCGTTTAAGGGACCAGCAAAGTTGGCATCAAGTTCMAAAGCACTTTCCAGCTGTGTTTAGCTATGGAAGCAAGTCTCCTAAACTCAATTCTTTAATCCTTTTGCCTGATCTCAAAAAATTCTGATTATCAAGATTCCTCCAAATGTTGGTTTTTTTATTTGTAAACACAGCCTCCATGGTTCCAGTGTAAGCAAGGGAAGTTTAAAAACTCAAAATACAGTAGCTAGTTTACAGAACAAAAAAATAAGTTTCTTGCAGTTCAAAACCTTACAAAAGAAAATAATTGTAAAGCTTCAGTAAGACCCACCCAGACAAACAGCAGCTCTTGACTTCCCTGTTTAGTGAAGGACATTTTCCTCTACTTTAGTGTTGCTCCATCTCCTCCCACATGAGCCATAGAGCCCCAAAGTAATTGATGTTACACAGCAGAACACTGAGAACAGGCCTGCTCTGTTCTCCCTCCTTGGGGGTACAATCCCCAATTTGTCTTGGAAAGSAGGTTTCAAAAGAAAGGCTTGGAGCTGCCCTCCTACAGCAGTCTCTCCTCTCAAACTCCTGAGGGCAGAAGATGGGCAGCAAGAGGAAGCYCTGTGGCAGATTTACACTTTTCATCACCATTTTGGGGATGGTGACATACYGTACAAGGAGAGGTCCTAAAACCAGAACCAGAATTAAATATTGCAGGCTCTAACAAAGCAATTTCATTAAAGTCTCTACCAGAGGACATTTGTATCCCWCACCAGTGCCTTTAGCAAGAGCAGCTCACTGCAACCCAAAGCAGCACTCTTACCCTTCAAATGCTGAACTAATCTGTGTCTTTAGCCCCAAAATTCACACTTCTGGAAGCCAAATTCCTTAAAGASCTAGGGAGTCTTAAAAAMWASATSTWKTTTTTAATTATTATAYGCATCARTGTTCACAGGTCAGACACATTCTTGCCAAAATGCCATTTATTGCAGTACACCTTTACATGGCATACAGATAACCCAATGTTGCATCTTCTGTCAGAACTCGTATTTCATTTGTACCACTTAAATAACACAGAATGTCATGTTTGTTTCACAAACTGTCAGTTAAGACTACCAAAATATACACTTTTGTTTTCCTTTCCCCCTAACAAGGTTGTGAGGTACAACTGAATTTTACTACTTTATCTTCCTGTGCTTTACAAGAACCTTTTCATAGACAGACCTATCAAATATTTCTACATTCCTATACAAAGCAAAGAATTACAGCTGAAATTAACACCATCTGGTCATTGCATTAACCTACAAAAATTCATTCAGTAAAAAAAAAAAAAAAAAAAAA